AATAGACATTCCATAAAGTCACACAAATGACCAATAAACTTGTGATAAAATGGTTAACTTCATTTGTCAGATAAATGCAACCGAAGTAGTGTAAAATTGTTTTTTTACCCTGCACTCAATTGGTAAAAATGTAAGCTTGTCTGCAGTTGGTGGGGAAGGTATCAAAAATTTTAAATGTAGCTTACGCTTTGACCCAGACATTTCCGTTCCAGGAATTTATCCTATAAAATACTTGTAAGAATGCACAAAGATGCTGTGTATTACCATTCCTTCAGTACATTGTTTGTAGCCACAGAACACTGTGAGGAGGAGTGACTTGTGTCCATAATGAAAAAATGTTTAAATAAATGGTGGTATATCTAGTTACGTGGTATTTTGTAGCCAAAATATGCTGGGCATTGAAAAAGGACCGATACACAGTGTAAAAAAGATGCAGAAAAAAGTTGTAGAAAGATATGCACAAACTTACCAGCTGTTGAACCTGGGGAGGAAGTACACTTGCCCTTTCACTTTCTGCTCTGTATGTTTCTCTATAGTTGTCCCTTGATATCAGTGCAGGGTTGGTTCCAGGATCCCCACAAATACCAAAATCCACGGGTGCTTACGTCCCCTGTATAAAATGGCATAGTATTTGCATATAACCTGTGCACATCCTCCCATATACTATAAATCATCTCTACATTACTTTTGATACCCAATACAATGACTACACATCATTCACGTTCATGCAACGTAGTACTCAGCACACAGCAAATTCGTTTTGTCTTTTAGAAGCTCGTGGGACTTTTTCACCTTGAGTGAGTATTTTCTATCCCGGTTGACTCCAATGCAGCAACCAATTGCATTGGTTGACTCCAGTGCAACCCTCCAACCCATGGATATGGAGGGTTGACTATCATTTGTTTTACTAGTCCGTTTGTAAATCAGCTTAAAAATAGGATTTAAAAAATTACATTCCCATGTACATGTAAGCTTAGGAGCCTCTTTAAAACCACTCTACCAGGATCACTTGCTTCTTCCCTTGAGATTGTGAATTCCTCAGTTGCTAACCTGGGTACCAAGTTATACCTGCACAGGAGTTTCTTCAAAGATTGTAGTTCAAAGATGGAAAAGTAAAGGTATTTTTCTATAGTTCATTCAGTTGAGTACAACTGGTTCTCCACATCCAATAGTGTGATACTCTTCAGAAAATATGTGTTCATGCAACTTTTTTTGAGAAGGGGTGTAGGTGTTCCTTAGAGGATAATTTACAGGAATAGTTAGCAGTGGAGATATCAAAACCTATAATTGCTTCTTCCTCCTACACATGAAATAAGGTAAATGAACTGTTAGGACTAGGCCCCAGTAATAGAGAAGGGTGATTTAAAGCACTTACCCAGAGGAGGCACACGGTCTTTTTAAAGCTAAAATAGAATTGTGTGTTCAAAGAGTATTTCAAGGCCCGCCCTCCAGTCTGTTGGAAGGGCAAAGGCCCTTATTATCAGAGCCTTGGTGTCTCAGTACAGTCTTGCTTTCAGCTGAGTGTGGTCTACTGGAAAACCACAAACACTGAAAGAGTCCTGTCCGTCAGACAAAACAGACTAGACAGTACAATTATCTAATCACTTCCTAAGTAACAGCAGATAAACCTCCGATTATATTCTGGTAAAGACACATTGGGCTTCAAAGTTATTTGGAATGTATTTGAGAGTTCTAAGCACCCACCTAGATAACTTACTTAAAAGTAGCCTGGATTGTGACAATTTACATTCCTAACAGCCCTGGCAAATAGCCAAAATCTACTCAAATAATGCAGGCTCCAAAGGTGCCTAGACACTTGCTAATAAAAAACAGGACACAAAGGGAGATTACCTCTTTAACCTTACAGAGTAGTCCCCAATATTCAGTGGTAGTAAAACTGACTTGTACAAACATCTGGGAAACAGTCTTTATGCACCTTATGGAGATATCAAAAGCAGAAACTGCAAGGACATTGCTAGAAGTCTACCTACTTAATATATTTTTAAAGCCCGGCATAATGAAAATCAAAAAGCTAATTTGGAGAGAAATACTTAACAAAAGGTTAAAATCCTCTAGATACATAAATCAAAAAGAAAAAGATGCATTTTTCAGCCTGGTGGATCATCTGTTCTTTACTGCTCAGCATCCCCTTATTAACAGAAGCCTTCCTAGTGGTGAACTCAATCTATATGTCTGGTGAAAACATCTTCCCCCACATCTACCAAGATGGGCATTTGAACTGGGTCTACAGTATTAGTCACATAGCCCATGCACTGCAAATGGCAGCTTGATGTAAGGGAAAAATACTCTACCATGGAATAAAAAATAAACACAAACCAGGGACACCATTTCCCACCTATCAAGTTTGCTGATTTCTCCCCCTCCCCTTTTTCAGATATAATACCCAGGTTATGTAAAGAATTAGGAAAATAGATACTCTGAAAACATGTAATAAACTTTTCTGTGGGTAATCTGACAATAACAAGAGCCTGTAAAATGTACTCTTCCTATTTTTTAACTCCCAAAGAAGTAATCTTTTTAGCAAGGATCATCAATGCATGCTGTAATAAAATCACTTGAGTGAAAGATTGTGGAGACAGGGAAAAGCTCATATTTATAAAGGAGAGTTCTGGTGATCATATCTTAACCAAAGAGTCAAATTTATTATCACAGTAAAAACCATTTTAATTACCTCCTGACGCAATCCAAGTATGAAACACACAGCATCACCTGTGAAGGATTCCTGCCTAAAATAATCAGACCTCTAGAATGAACTTCCAGTTTATAGAAAATACAATAGAGGAACAAATTAATGAACATTTGGGGGAAAACAGACAAATCGAGGATGGGGGACATTACATTAAAAAGGGGAGGGGGTCTGGGTGTGGTGGCTCATACCTGTAATCCCAGCATTTTGGGAGGCCTAGGCAGGGCAGACCACTTCAGCCCAGGAGTTCAAGACCAACCTGGGCAACATGGTGAAAGTGTCTCTATAAAAAACACAAATATTAGCCTGTACTCCCCACTACTCAGGAGTCTGAGGTGGGAGGATTGATGAGTGCTAGAGTGAGCTGTGATTGTGTCACTGCACTCCAGCCTGGGTCAGCCTGCCTCAAAAAAAAAAAAAAAAAGTTTGGGGTAGGTGAAAGGAGGATTGTTCTCAAGACTAAAGAGATATAACCACTAAAAGAAATGCATGAAACAGCTGAAGCCATGTTCAAAAAAGTTGTAAGTTTGAAGGCAGCTGCAGAAATCTGAATATGGACTGAACTTTAAGCATTCAGAAATGTCTTTAGATGCTGTAATGGTCCTGTGACTACATTGGAAAGTATCCTGACAGATGCATGCTAAAACTTTTAGGGGTGAAATGTCTGCAACTCACTGTTCAGCATAAGTGTGCACACTTACACATTTACATAAAAATATGGTAAAATGTTAATTGTTGAATCTAGGTGGTATATATGTATGTAAACATAGTATTTCCTGTTTTTCAGGACATGTTTATTTTCCCCCCCCCAAAAAGAAAAATGAATCTTTTCACCATACAATCCACTTCTTAGAATTTATTCCAATATCCCAAATTCAAAATATTTAAATTTCCCAAAGTATTTTATTCCAGGGATGATCATAGAAACATTCTTTATAATATCCTCAGATTAGAAACAATCTCAGTGTTTAACAAGGAAGTTGTTTGAATTGGCACAACCATACCTGGACTACTGCTACTACTTTTTGCTTTGGAGACAAAGTCTCGCTTTGTCACCCAGCTGGAGTGCAGTGGCCCCATCTTGGCTCACTGCAACCTCTGCCTCCTGGGTTCAAGTGATTCTCCTGCCTCCGCCTCCCGAGTAGCTGGGACTACAGGCGCATGCCACCACACCTGGCTAATTTTTTGTATTTTTTAAATAGAGATGGGGTTTCAAAGTGTTAGGCAGAATAGTCTTGATCTCCTGACCTCATGATCCTCCTGCCTCGGCCTCCCAAAGTGCTGGGATTACAGGCGTGAGCCACCACACCTGGCTGATATTTTTAAGTTATACAAGATATGACATAGAAAGGTTTTGTGAAAAAGGTTAACACCCAGAAGAAACTTGATGACTGAGACCCATTTTTCAAGCCCTAGTTCAAATTAGATTATTTTCCCTGTAGTTTTTCTCAATCAGATCTAAAACACTCCCTTTCCCCACACTTGCTATTTCATGCCTTGTACAACAGTTACTGTTGACTTTTCAACTTTACTATAAATTTACAGGGGTTGGGTCCATGTTTGTTTACAAGTGGAGACTGACAAAAAATTTAAAAAGAAGAGGTAGGCAATGAGTGTTCCAGCTGGAGGGTCAGCAGTTGGGATATGAAGTGCAGTAAGGGGAGGTAATGAAATAGCCACTGGTTTCTTAGTGATTACGTTATGCAAGACACCATGCTAAGCACTCTCAATACATCATCTGATGTGATCCTTGCAGTCTTACTGGGTGGATATCGTATCAACAGTTCTGAGAGAGAAACGCAGAGAGGTTAGATAATTTGACCAAAAGTCACATAATTAGCAAACCAGATAATCAGTTTCAAACACAAGGAAGTCAGGTTTCCACACCTAGGTCCTTTCCGATTTCATGAAATCACTAAGAGTATTTTTTCTTTAATGGTGGCAAAGGGTGAAAAGGCCAGATAACCTTTAGATTCCTTTCAATACCAATATTCTACAAACCTGCCTACCCAGCAAATTTGAAAATAGGCAAATTTGGTCACTGCTACATGATCCAGTTGATATTAGGATAAGAAGCCATACAGTTGATGTTAGGCCAATTTGTATCTGATTATGACCTTAAGAGAGAAACCGAACAGAAGGATAAGCTGCCTTCCAAACACAGTTCTTTCTCCATTTCAGCAATAAATATTGTGAATAAAGGCATACTGTTAACATGAAACTCCTTGGCTATAGATAACGGTAATAAGAATTACTGTATTCAGGTAAAGGGAAAGCATGGATTCAACCACAATGATTTCTTGAAATTTTTATTAATTTTTTTTTTTTACAGCTTGATCCTCTTATGAAAAGGAAAGAATTTAAAGATGAATTACATTTTTGTTTAAACAGCAATAAATCCTCATTACAGAGAACAAAAGATCTGTGGCACATTGTCTTTGGAAAGATCTTTTGCATATTTTTCTTCTAAAAAAAACTATAATTTTCTCACAGATCACATATTCTCTTTCAAACGACTATACAAGGCAGCTAAATTTTATTCACAAAGCCCCAAGTTGCAGTTCCATTGCTGAAGTAGGTAAAATATATGGAGTTCCCCTTAATTTGTGTTGCACATCTTCCCATTGAGAGCATCACTGTTTCCCTACCCTATGTACAAAATCATTGTGTTGATGATAGCTGGCACATGATTCCACAGTAATTAAAGAAAAACTCATTATTTTAAAGATAGACCAGTGATTTTCATTTATCAACTGGACAATTTACTTTTTTAAAACAGTTCTAATAATACCAAGATTTGACTTTCCTCCAAAGTTATAAGAAAGCAAAAAATATATAATATAATATAATATATAATGGTAATAAATAAAAAAAAGGCAACCCTGCTCAGGTATCATCCAAAACATGATCACATTCAGAAAAAAAAAAAAAAAATTAAAACAAGATTTGGGACACATGCGTACATAGACACACAGACACCCCAACACGAACAGTGTATACTTGATATTTGAGGGGGGATATGCAGTAATTTTAACAATACATGTTGATGGCCTGAACAAAAGGTAAAGTTAATACTGCCTGTGTTAAGCATTGCTTAAACATTGACTTTTAAGCAAAGCAAGTTGTCTTCCTTAGGCCAGCCACTGCCTGGTCCGACCAGTGCAGCTTGGCCAGCCTCACTGAGTGGTCTTATTCCCTTGTCCTCCCCAGGCCGACATAATTAATATACAGGCTCACAAGGAGCTGTAGGATTTCCCTCCTGCTCTCTTAGGTGGAGGAGTATAGGCACTTCTCTACCCAGCACAATGCCTGCTGACTCAATGGAACAGAATATAGTGTGATTTTCCCCGACAATAAGAAATTTATAGCCACCTAAAAAGCAATAGTTGGTACTTGTCAACTCACCATAAATAAGAACTAAAGAACATGGTCAGTGCACTCACAATTCATAAAGAGATGTACACTCTAAGTCAGTGAGAAACCAACACAACTGGATTGCATATTTGAGGTTCACATGGTGGCAATACCACTTGCAATGTTTGGAGGAAAACCCCCAACACTAGGCTATTCTGCCATTACACCTTCTTCCAACAGAATGACACAAAATACCTTACATCCATTAATCCTAAGTGGGACCCAAAACAAAAGAGGCAACCAGGTCAAGAACAGGAGGAGAAAAAAAGGTACTGCTATAATTAATCCTGCCATCCCTCCATGGTTGCAATGCGTAACTCTCACTTTTCAGTGAGAAAAATCTATACTCTTGTGTTTCTAAAGGAAGCACAAAATATTCTTGCAAGATTTAAATACTGCTAGTCAGTGGCAATGAGTGTAAATAGATGAAGCGGCAAAGTTTTAGAAGTTTTCTTGTAGTGTTTGGAAAGATAAAGAATCTGTGGTAGGAAACAAGCAGATTTTTTTAAAGTACATTAAAACAAAACAAAAAAAAAGGCCAGCCTCAAGCCTTATTTAATCTACCTTAAGATGCACAAATACAACTCAAACTTCCTAACGCAGAGGAGTAAAAGGCGCAGGAGCCATGTAACATCCCTTGAAGCCACGGCAAGAAACAAACAGCAGTATTTCAAAACCAGATCCAGTCAAAGGCACAATTCAGTCAGCTGCTGCTTCTGTTTAAGTGTGTGTGTCCCTTTGTGTATCAGAGATAACAGTTTTGTTCATTGTGGAGGACACAGTGGTTTTTCTTTTTGCTTCTAAAAATTATTGAAGATGAATAATAAAACAGTAAGCTCCTGATGCTAGTAACATTAACATGTAAGGTACCAAATAAGGCAAATTTTCAGCCAGAAAGGGGTAGAGGGCTTTAGCTTTCTAAATATCCTGAGATCTGATATTAAAGGATACAGGACAAGGGAAATAAGTGTGGTCCAATTTGCCTTGGGGAAATAGCTACATGTGTTGGTCCAAATGATATATAAAGGTCTTTTTGTTACAAAATATTAGATGTTTTTCCCATTCAATATTGTGATCAAATTATAATGGACAAATTCTCCTCCTAATGTGATTCTATTTCTGATAAATGCTTGCTGGACCCTCCCACTCCTCACCACTGCTACTAGGTGGCCAATGTTTTCACAATCCAAACCCAGTATAATTTGGTAAATTTTAGTAAAGTGTTTTTCCATTATTTAGCAGGGCTCTTAAGTTCAGTAATTCACAGAAAGGACAAAACATTCAACACTTTAAAAAGTGTTCTTCCATTTTCTACTAAAGACACAAAAACATACCTGCGCGCGCGCGCACACACACACACACACACACACACACACACACACACACCCTTGTAGTGCCAAAGGCAAGATTTACACTCTGTTTTCACTCCTTAAGATGCTTTGCATTTGTCTTACTGTGAAGTGTGTACTACTGTTATAAGAACTTCGCATATTCAAAGGCTTAATTTTATAATCTAGCCCTTTCAAATGATCTACCTCAGTATAGATTCTGCCTTTGGGAATTGTAAGCATGCAGTGAAAAAGTGCAAATGATTTTTAAAATCCTTTAGACTTCTATATAATTGTAACAGGAAAAAGACCCTATGAACATTAAGGATTCATCAGCCACTACCTTTCACATAACTCTATTAAAGAGGTTACCATTAGTTATTCTCTTTTAGGTACAATGCAAAAAGGATCAGAAATATCCAATGACCAAAGTAGTACAAACTGATCTATGCACATTTGTTACTTTTTCAAGGGACAAATAAAATCTTTATATCAAGTTCAGGGAAAAAAAATCCACAAAGAGTAAGGCCACTGAAAAAGCAATCTGTTTCAGAGCTGGCTGAGAAATCCACTTGGAAATGTCTTCAGTCAAGGGAGCACTGTGGCTGCCAACAGAACATGCACATGCTCTGGCGCACTCTGCATAGACAGAACCTGCCATAAAGAACACAACCCTTCACAACTGACAGGTGGCTTGTCCTAGGGAATGATGGGACAAAAGGGGAGGGGATGGCTAAGGGAGTAAGGAAAAAAGAAACATGTTAAATAACATCTTCAACATCGAAATAAAGCCTGATTCTGGTGCCTTGTCCCTTACATATAAGAGATAGACACACAATGATACAAACACACAAAACCTACCAGGAAATTATTCATTTAACACAGGTTTTTTTAAACTAGTAGTTTAAAAAGGACCGGGGCTTTGCTTTAGAACATGAATAAATGAAACCAGTCATCAGGAATCACACATCAAGGTCTTATGCTCAGATACTGCTACAGCTGTCATTCTCTGGCTTTCACCTAAACATGAGGCACCAGACCCCTGACTTAGTGATAACCAAAGAACAGTCTGGAGAAGAAACTGAAGGAACAGCCTCACACTGACCACTCATACTGTGAGATAAGCATTGCTCCCATCCCTCAAAACAAATATCCCTTTGTATATTTACCAACAACCAAGAGAGTTCCTGCATTCATCATAGGGATCTTAGAGGTTTTCATTATAAATAAAGATGGTTCTCCCTCCTCCACCAATAGGAAAATGGGAAACACACCTGATAGGAAACACGCAGAGGGGCAGAATGGGGCAAAGGTGGAGAAAAGCTAGTTACAGAGATGACGCTCCTCAATTGTAACACATGTGCAAATTCTACCTCTAAAAGGGATAAAGAAGAATTGGCTTTTAAAAATACTGCACTCAAAATAATGTTTCCAATAATATCCTTCAAAGTTTCAACGAAAAAGACTGTGCCTATGGGCACATGGGATTTCTGACTATTTTAGGTCATTCAAAATGGACTTGGTTTAATGTATACACTATGGCAATAACTTTCGAAGGGCCACAGTTCCTCCTCAACCAAATCAAATCTAGCTGAGAACACTCTGGAGTGAAGGCATGTGGTGACGATTTTTTCAAAAGTCTAATTAACCACCCCAAAATCTCTACATCCTCTTACGGAGTTAACTTCCCCTAGACAGTCAAGGACTCTGAAAGTTTAGTTTTGCTATAAATATAAAATAATTTGTAGCAGAAAAATATAGCCTCTCTAAGAAGATTTCATTTTTCTTGTTCACTGATGAAACTCTTGAGTTGGTTGGACAACATGAGTACCACATAACTGTAGACCACAGATCAGCACCTCAAATTCCAGCTCTACTTAAAACTTTAAAAGCACTTTAGCCATCTGGTCAGGTATAAATGTTGGTTCCCTTCTTCCCCAAGGTAGGATATTCAGATAGAGTCAACAGTGACTGCCCTGTTAGAGAGTCCCTTTTGCTGAAGCAGGGGTGGGAAATGGCAGCGCCAAGTCCTCCCATGCAGACCACGAGGCAGCACCCCACGTGCTGTGGCTCCTCCTTGCCGCTCTGACGTGGGCTGAGTTTCAGCACAGAAACAGAGAAGTCAGAGCTGGGGTGAACGTGCAGCACTCTAGGCAATGGGGGGATGTGGGGCGGCGGGAGCGGGGGTTGCCTTCAATTTTATAAATTACAACAATACTTGGTATTATCAAGCCACTGTTCATTGGCAGAAAGTGGGGCACAGTGGAGTCCTTCACAACTTATGATTGACAGATGGCCATTCGAAGTTACTGAACAAACACTTCTCCCAAAACTTGAAAGAAAAAAAGAAATCATCCACAAAACCCTCCACCAAAAGTCATTGTTAAAAAAAATTTCCTTCTGGGAATGGACTAGTGTGGCTACTGAGATGATGTGAATTCACTTTCAGAGTTGAAACTGCTTCTCCTTATTTCATTTGCAACTTGGATCCTACTGGTTTAAAAAAAAAAAAAAAAAAAAACAGAAATGTTTCTAGACCATTCATACACCCATTTAAGCTACATTGCACTTCTGTCCTTTAGTTAGGAAGGGCAAGATCATCTCTGGGGCCGGCCTCCTCATCTCTGCTTCTGCATAACCATAGTGTCCAACCAATGATCACACAGTTGTTGAGAGTAGGTGGACAAATGTCCTGGCCATCTCATGGTGCTTCTGTTTTAGAGTTTGGTGTCCTGATGAGACAAATGTCTGGACTGTTTCTGAGGCTTCCAATGTGCAAAAATAGTTCCCAAGGCATTGAATCAACCTGGGGCTCCATTAAGGTGTTTTGGTTAATTCTTGCAGCTGCTGAAAACCCTGTCGTGTGTAGCGCACCAGGTCCACCAAACTGCTGTTGAGGGCCAAGGTGCACACATTTGTGCTGAGCTGAGCAAAGAAATCTGCAAAAACAAAACAAAAACCAAGTAAACACACAAGCACACACAAAAATTAAAACGGAAACAAAAATTAAGGTTCCAGAAGGTACATCCCCACAATATTCTGCAATTTATCACAGCAAAAAAATCACAGTCTATTGTAATCGCTTGCTAATTCTCCAGTAGACTATAAACCAGGTTTGCTTTAGAGCTGAATCCGTAATTCTTAGCACAATGGCTGGCACTTGGAAAACACCAAATTTATACCTTGCCTCACAGGATGCATTAACAACAACAACAAAATGTTAAAAGCATTATTAGCTTGATAAGACAGGTAAGGTCCTAAGAGGCTTTGGAAAGAAAGTGGTTATAGCCGGCTGGCTCCAACTCTCCTAAACCTTTCATTTCTCCAAAGGTCTTCTTCCCCAAACAAGCCTCAAGAATGTTTACAATGCTCTATCTCTCATACTGTAGCTACTATCTTTCTTATGATATACTAAAAACAAATAATCATCTCAGCATTTGGGTTATGCTACTTCATATCTCAATGTGCTGAGCCTAGGAACTGCCAGTGACTCCTCTTCTTCATTTGCCTTTCAGCTAAACATTTTAGTTCAGGCTGAAATAATGACAGCAGAATTTCCGAAGAAGCAAGGTGCTACAGCCACTTCTATTTTGGTTTTGCTAAGAACTAGCCACAGAAATTCAGCTTCACGCCACAGAGCTCAAGGAATAAATGCAACTAGGTTATGAGGTAGAATGGAGAAAATATTATTAAAGTAAAAGAGGTATATATTTCCTTCTCTCCAAGAAACTGAACTTAAAATATAAGCCCATGTTATTTCCTCCCAATCCCCATACCCCAGAAACTACCACCACAAAGCCATTGATTTACCCTTATTCTTCCTTGTGAGGGCTTCGGCCTGTTCCCAAAGGTCAAAGGCGGTAAGGACATGGGACGTGATGGTGACGTAGGAAGATGTCATATTCTGGATGGTGACTGGGGTGCTGATGGTGGCAGCCATCCCACCACTGCTCCCCACACTGCCAGCACTCGACTGGGACCCTACGGAGCTGGCAGGAGAAGGCATTGGGGAAAGAGGGGATGGTGTGCCTGTGCTTCTGGGAGGCAGAAGAGAAGAGATAACTGGTCAGTCACTAGCAGACCCCGGATCACAGATTTATGTGTCTGGAACTACAGTTCAAGACACAAAGTTTCACTACACGCCCGCGAAAGTGACAACCACTGCTAAAATCACTCCTACAAGGTCAACGAGACACCCTGCTGGGCCGATCTGTATTCCAAATATGCTTTCCCATGCCATTTACATAGTCTACATCCCCTGCCTGGAATCTCCCGGCAAGACAATACCATACGTATGTAACGTACGCATATGTGTGTACGTATGTGTGTGCACACACCTGTACTTCATCCTTTCATCCACTCAGTAAACACTAACGAGCACCTGCTCTGCACCTTGCATTCTTTAAGACACTGTGGATACCCTGAATACATCACAGCTTCCTTTCTGCCACCACTTGAACATCTCTCTTTTCTTGCATGTATCTACTGTTTATTCCTTTTGCTGAACCACGGCAAAAATTATGTCTTATTCATCTTTACATTACTAGCACTTAGCGAAATTGGTGCTAAAAGTAGGCTCCTGATAAATACTTGCTGAACCAATGAATGAACTAATGTAAGCATCATGCATCAGAAGCCTCAATTTCCTCTTTACTCCACTCTTGGCTGAATATCTGGACCTGCAAGTTAACATGTGACTCAATGTGGATTAAATGGAAAGACGGCTCAGCAGCAACAGCCTCATGATGTTACACCTGCCGTTTGGGCTGCACAGACTTAGCAAGGAGTAGAGTGAAAGCTCGATGAGGGCAATGGTTCTTTCTGCTGTATCCCCAGAACCTAAAACAAGGCTTAGTATAAAGAAGGTGCTCAGTATATACTGGATGGACAAATGACTGAAGGAGTTATCTAAAAAAAATGTGACTGACAACCTATTAGCCTAGAATAATATCTCAGATGCAGCAGCCATGAAAATCTTCAGAGGTAATAAGAAGTTGCTTCTTAATCGGGACTTTCTTTTTTAAGAGGCCATATGGGAGTCTCTTCTTTTGAATGTGCTAGAAATAGGGCAGTCATGTAAGTGATATTCTTAAAATAGCAAAACTTATCAGAACTAGGAACTTCACAAGGAGTATGACCAAATTAAAAAATACTAGGCAAGGACTACAGAGAAGAAAATTCCAACTTCATTTTAAAAACACTTGTACAGGATTCCTTTTTTTCTAATAACTTACAACATACATAAACAATTTTAGTTCACAAAGTGGGGAAAAGAATTTTGCTAATCATTTTCACTCTTACTGTCACTGGTGTGGATCCTGGAGAAGATGAAGGGCATATGGCTCTGGAAGTTTCTTGTTTACTGAAATGCCAGGAAGCTATGCCATACACACAGAAAAAGAAAGAACTGTGGCTCTAGCTCTGATTCTCTTGTCTCTGCCTCTTGTTTTGTGTTCTGAGGTTTATATAAAGATCCTCCTCAAAGCTCGGCCGGGCACAGTGGCTCATGCCTGTGGCATGCCAGCAATTTAGGAGGCTGAGGTAGGTGGATCACTTGAGGTCAGGAGTTCGAGACCAGCCTGGCCAACCTGGTGAAACCTTGTCTCTACTAAAAATACAAAAATTAGCCAGACATGGTGGCATGTGCCTGTAATCCTAGCTACTCAGGAAGCTGCGGCAGGATAATCAGTTGAACCTGGGAGGTGGAGGTTGCAATGAGCCAAGACGGCAGCACTGCACTCCAGCCTGGGTGACAAAACAAGACTCTCTCTCAAAAGAAAAAAAAAAATCCTCAAAGCTCAAAAAATTTCAATTCTATATTCTTTGCAATTACCTTTTTATCTTTTCCATTCAGCAAAAATTTTGATTTATAACTGTTTCTCAGAAAGGCAGAAATATGCTAATAATTTAAGTTTAGGAGCAATCAGCACACAGATGAAGCCAACAGTTTTTGAAAAGGCAAAGTCACATACGTAAGCATATGTGTTGAAAAAGCAAGAATAAAGAAATGACTCTATTTTGGAAATTATTTATATTAGGCTTACAGTTACCTTGCAATGCATGGAGAAGGTGCCTGGGCAACTTTGGAAGAACTCTCGAAGTGTTTATTAAGAGTACGAGAATACTTTATTGCTATGTCTTTTTTACAACGAAACATCGCCATATTCAAAATGGACTGGGAACGCATGCTATGAACAAAGGCAGAAGGAAAATATTACCCTGTGCACATGACTATCATACCACAGAAAAGCAGCCATCTAACTTTCTATAGCCTAATGAACACACTGGTTTTTCCTCACCTATGTGTTAGTATGTAAAAAATCGTACTGCTTTGCTCACACTATCCCAAAAGTAAATGCTGGCGGAAAACACAAGGATATAATTTATATCACAAGACCAAAGCATTTGCCAAGCCGTCAGACAAACAGCAGCAGATACCATTTTGTAATAATTAACTCTCAGTGGGGAGTTAACCCTTTGACTAAGTACTGACTTCATAATTTTCACATTAAGAAAACAAATTTCAAAGTCTTTTTGTAACATCAACAGATGCAAAAACACATTTGGTACTATTTAGACAAAGGAAAATACATACCATAAAACAGCAAATATTTTCTCTTGTATTGGCGCTGTGACATCTGAGAAGGATTTTAATGACATTATGAATCTATAGGAAAATAAGTGCATCAGGTTTTAAACAAAGGCGGACAGATTACAACTTATTGTGCTTGTTTCCATTTTATATTGACTTTTCCTGAAGATGTAAAGAGATGAGAGCATCACAAGAAAAACATTTTTAAAAAACCAAGATTTTAGAGCAACTATCCAGGCCGTTGAGAAAATGAGGGTGGACATGTCTCTTCTGTGGCTTGCCTACCTCTTGAAACCAAGTGAGGTTGTGTCCTTACTGAGTCCCTGCTGAAGTGTAGGTAAGTAAACAAAGTAGTGGCTTCAACTGAGAGGAGAGGTCATCTGATAAGAAAGCTCAACTGGAAAAACCAACCTCTCCCTGAAAGCTCTGGCACTTCTTGGTGCACTTAGCAAAATGATGTAGGTAGATCCAGTTACTCTGAGCTAGCACTTCATCTAGAACACAATTTTAGTTTAGAACAAGTAACTTTTTTAAGGCTTGGACCAGTAACTTTTTAAAGGCTACCCTTTATTGAGCCATCTTCACACTAAGGTTCAAATGGATTAAAACAATAAAGGTGAGGAAAGAAAAGTACTCAAGAGGGGCTGGGCATAGTGGCTCATACCTGTAATCCCAGCGCTTTGGGAGGTCAAGGGGGGAGGATCACAAGGTCAACAGATCGAGACCATACTGGGCAACATGGTTGAAACCTTGTCTCTACTAAAAATATAAAAATCAGCCGGGCATGGTAGCGGGCACCTGTAATCCCAGCTACTCAGGAGGCCAAGGCAGGGGAACTGCTTGAACTCAGGAGGCAGAGGTTGCAGTGAGCCGAGATCGTGCCATTTCACTCCAGCCTGGGAGGCAGAGTGAGACTCTTGTCTCAAAAAAAAAAAAAGAAAAGAAAAGTACTTAAGAGGAAAGCACAATGACTTGGCACTTACTTAATGAGGTCTACAGTTTCTGAGTAGACGGAGTAAGCCGACTTGGATGCCTGGCTTTCAGACTCCATGGCAATTCCACACTCAATCAAGGACAAGACGGCTTCCAGGTACTTAAAAGCCTTTCCAACCTTGTCCGTCTGCAGGAGAAGAACGTGGTCATTGTTAGGCTGAAGACAAGCCTTTATTCAGTTTCTCACCCACATTCTTTAGTGTGACTTTCCTTCACTGTCTTAGTTTAATTATGGCTGAGGAGAAGTGTGAGGATGAATGAACTAAAAATGATAACCAAAGCCTGTCAGCTGTGACCTGCTGAAAACTCGTTTAGCAAAAATTCATTAGGAAAACGAAAACAATCCCATATTAAGACCATGCTCTCAAAGCCTTATGAAAGCACATATCCAAACTAAGGCAGTTCGTACATATCTCCTTGTTATCAGTGTCCAATTACTCATTATATAACTTTCTTGAGAAACATTATTATTCTTCACATCTAGAGTAACGCAGACACATATTTCTTTGTGTGCGAAGTTTATTAAAAAGTAGAAAACACTCATCATGGTTTATAAGTATCTTAGATATAACAGCTAACAATAATTGTTTTATGCATTTTACAGCCCAACAGATTAATCTCCTTTGATATCAGCCTCCTTTGACCATAGCACAAAGCTATCCCCCCAGGCCAACAGGGCTCACATTTCAGAGTCCCTTAGAGGGAATGTAGAAATATGAACAAAATCAGATACTGGTGGTCACCCTACACCTGAATACGCACTTTGTCACATAGTACCCTTCTAAGCGGCATACGGCAAATGCAGCTGGTGAGTGTGATGCAACTGTCTTTCTCTCTGCCCATGGCGTACGTACCGTACATTGAGAGCAACTGATTATCGCTTTAATTTCTGCTTTGTATTTGATACGTTCAAAAAGAAAGAATGAAAATAGGAGCTGGGCATGGCGGCTTATGCGTGTAATCCTCCAGCACTTTGGGAGGCCGAGGCGGGTGGATCACTTGAGGCCAGGAGTTTGAGACCAGCCTGGCCAACACAGCAAAACTCCTTTTTTACTGAAAATACAAAAATTAGCCAGGTGTGGTGACAGACCTGTAATCCCAGCTACTTGGGAGGCTGAGGCAGGAGAATTGCTTGAACATGGGAGGTGGAGGTTACAGTGAGCCAAGATGGTGCCACTGCACTCCAGCCTGGGTGACAGAGTGAGACTCTGTCTCGGAAAAAAAAAAAGAAAGAAAGAAAAGAAAAGAAAATAGTAAAGACAGAAGTGGAATCTAAGGAGCTGGCGACACACTGGCAATGAGAGGGGTATGGGCCACTATGCTACAGAGTCATGCTGCTGCACTCCCCACAGGGGGGCGGAAATGCTTCTCCCAGTGAGGGGACAGCAGAATTACTTCAGCGCATACTGTTCTCATATTTGACCAGTAGCAGAACCAACTAGGCTGCTATACACATGTATACATGTATATTTCAGAAGATTCAATTCTAAAATATTTTATTTTAAAAAAAAGTAACTTAAGGACAGGCAGGGTGGCTCACACTTGTAATACCAGCACTTTGGGAGGCTGAGACAGATGGATCATGAGGTCTGGAGTTCAAGACCAGCCTGACCAACATGGTGAAACCCTGTCTCTACCAAAAATATAAAAATTAGCTGGGCATGGTGGCAAGCACCTGTAGTCCCAGCTACTCAGGAGGCTGAGGCAGAAGAATTGCTTGAACCCAGGAGGTGGATTGCAGTGAGCTAAGATTGGGCCATTGCACTCCAGCCTGGGCAACAGAGCGAGACTCCGTCTAAAAATAAATAAAATAGGCCGGGCGTAGTGGCTCACGCCTGTAATCCAAGCACTTTGGAGGCCAAGGCAGGCGGATCACCTGAGGTCGGGAGTTCAAGATCAGCCTGACCAACATGGTGAAATCCCGTCTTTAAAAAATATTAAAAATAAATAAATAAAATAAATAAGAAGTAACTTAATTAAAAAATATTTTTTCCAGAGAACCCAGGCTCAGATTAGTGACAGAACAAAAATCAAATGAGTATTCCCCAATTAATCAGCAGTATTTGGCATGACTGGTTTGCTTCACTGATGAATAAGTATATTTGGAGAATTCAGTTTCCAACACCATCTCTTTCATGGGATTTCCAGAATTAATATTGGCCTTAGGCTAGAAATAAACTAAACTACAGTATCACATAGCAATTTGTCAATATCCATTTCCTTGAAATAAGTATATCATAAGGCTAATAACGTCCATATTTCTGTGATTCCATGTATCTCCTGAAACATTGTTAAAGTAGTTTCCCTACTCAGTTGAAGATAATGTGGAGAAGTAATACACCCCTTTCTACTCAGCTGGGTACATAACTATCTGGAATGCACATCTTTCAGACATTATGTAATTAAGGGAGACTATTATTGAGTGGGTAGCCATAGGGGCTTATTGTCCAAACTGGCATATTTTAAGAGTGAAGCAGGATATAATTATTTATCAAACTGGGATGAAACAGGCATAAACCAGGACTACCCTGGCATGCTGGGATGTACAGTCACCTTAGGTAACGAGAAAGAAGATACGCATATGAATAGATTAAAAACAAAGCTCCCCAGAGTATGACTATTACTCCCTTGAATAATGATGAATCCAGTACTGAAAGTATCCAATGTCAAAATAAGTTTCAGATAACTGGCTGACAGTGCTAAATATTTACTCTTTCCAAAACTCCAAAGATTCATACAGTTCCAGTAACAATCTTGGAAAATTGGAAGCTGCTGAAACCACTGCTTGGCACAATCTCAGATTCTTAATCTGACCTAGGTCACCTAAGTGTATAGGACATAGGGTATAGGTATAGGGTAGGGTTAGGGACAGGGCTAGAGAGGTTTGTCTTTGACTGTCTTACAGAATTCAGCATGAAATGGTGAATGGGTCTCAGAAGAGATACAGGTCCACAGGTTAGGGTTGAAGAGGACCAGGCCAGGATCTTGCAAGCACCATGAATCAATCTAATTCAGACCCCTGTGGGTCTCTGAAATGTGTGGTTAGGTTTGCACGTGGACCAAAAAAGGCAACTCATGCCCTTCCTCTGTGTAACAAAGTTCAACAAATGGCTTTCCAGCAAGGTTTTTGCATTTTCGCACTTGTGGGGATTTAGGTTTGGGGACTCACTACATAAGCAAAAGCTGGAGTCTTGGATATTTATGACAAAGGGCAAACATTATCTCTTTATATTTATTGCAGTAGAGATGTAAAAGCATAATTACGTTCACAACCACAAAACCACCACCTCTCAGAAAGTCCAAAAGCCAATAGGTAAAGAGAATTCACGTCTTTAAAGCATGTTTACCAACAGTGTAATCATTACCTTGATCTTAAAATGCCATCTAACAGCCTAGCTCAGCTCTTCCTTCAGGTCAGCCTCTCAAGGCTTTAAGATAATTTTGGAATGTAAACAGGCTTCCTTGCCTTGAGAAATGCTTTACAGCAAACACACATTGAGAGAGTTTCAGTAGCAGGACTCATTTTTCACATGGAAGAATTGATCCAGTGGAATAAAAAAGCACCCATGCATTAAACCACCAGCAGGTAGATTAACTTTCACTTACTTAGATATAGAACTTGTGACTGGGTCCTTTGTGTATTTGTCCATGATCAGACTGAATCAATGGAGCCAAAGAAAATAACACCATCAAGAACCACCTACCCCTTAATCATTAAGGTCCTGATTTTGCTGCATGTGTCTGTTGTGATCAACGGCAGGGCCCATACACTCCCTTCTCCGGTGCCTGCTGCACCTACCACCTTCCACTGCAAATATACTGAGTGACATGGAGTATGGCGGAATGGAGACTACCCCAAATTTTTTCACTATCAGCAAACAGTCTACCAAAGGGATGAAGAGCCAATACGAACCATTAATTCTGCTTTCTGCTTCAACTTTTTTGCCTCCCTCATGTGAAGATCTGCTTGTTGTCTGAAAAAGAAGAGGAAAAACCAGGGACAGGTCATATGAGCTGCAAATTACTAGATGAGAGCAAGATAAGACCAATAGTGAAAAAGGATGGGAAGACAAGAGGAGGGGAGGAGGAAATGGAAGAAGAAAGAGCAAGAAGTGGCTGGGTGCAGTGGCTCACGCCCGTAATCCCAGCACTTTGGGAGGCTGAGGAGGGCGGATCATTTGAGGTCAGGAATTCAAGACCAGCCTGACCAACATGGTGAAACCTTGTCTCTACTAAAAATACAAAAACAGCCGGGCATGGTGGCTCATGCCTGTAGTCCCAGCTACTTGGGAAGCTGAGGCTGGAGAATCACTTGAACCTGGGAGATGAAGGTTGCAGTGAGCAGAGATTGTGCCACTGCACTCCAGCCGGGGTGACAGAGTGAAACTCTATTTCCCAAAAAAAAAAAAAAGAAAAAAAGCAAGAAGAAAGCATCTGAAGTCTTACTTGTCAAACTTCACTTGAGGCTTCCCTGGTTTAGAGTTACCATTTGGCAAAGAAGGCACTGAAAAAGGATTTGCAGTATCTCCGGAAGAACCCTTAAAAAAAAAATCAATATACAGATTACACTCTAACATTTAAGACCATTGTCCTAAAAGTACCATCCCTTTTACACAGCCCAAAATACTGGTTTTAAAAAAGAGTTAATCAAATACTGCACAATCTAGCCTGGTTAAACATTTTGTCAGCTACAGATTCAACTGAAGTGTTGGTTCTGATTTTACTGGAGGCTCAAAAAGACAAGACAAGAATGTCTAAGAGATCAGAGAACTCACAAAGCCACACATAACATTTTCTCCTAGTCAATCCAAACACACCATCCCACTCCACCCAGATTAACAGGAAGCGAGGAACTTTTACTTGAAAAAGTGGCTCATTTTTTCCCCATTATAACCAAGAATCAAAGTATCTGTGATCAAACATTCAAAGCAGAACCACACGGGGTAACTTTTCTTACTGCAAAACACCCGATCAAACACTAGCACAAAAATCTATTTTGATTTTTCACCTCTGAAATCACTGTAAGAAGAGTAACTCGACACCTAAATCTCTGGATATTATTAACTACCTTTTTCCCTTCCTCCAAAAAGTAGCATTTTAAACACAAACAATTGCCTTATTAAAAGCAATGGACAGTTCTGAAGTGCCATCATCAGGACCTTGTCTTCTTTGGGAAGGTCAAGGTACAGCAATGCATCCCGACTTACACAATGACTGCTGCCCCTGCTCACCTTGTGCTCCAAGGAGCTTCTGGAGCCCTTCCCCTCCACTCTTCTGTGCTTGGGAATGGAAGAGTCTTTGTGGCTGCTCTTGGTACTGCTGGCACTTTTGGGAGGGTCCTGGCTACAGGTGTCTGCCTCCCGCCTTGACCTCTTATGTGCAGGCTTAGCTGGCTTCTGGGAGGACGAAGACACAGGTGGTGGGGGAAGCATTTCCTTCTTTGAGGACTCTGAGGAGGGCCTGGAGCTCCTGGAGTGAAACATCATGTAAAACTAAGGGGAAGCAAAGCACACATCACGCAGCTTCATTGTTAAGTGACAAACTGGCTGCTGGCACAAAAGATTAGGGTATCACAAAGCATGAAACTGTGTTGTAAAAAGGCCAAATTTCAGGGACTTCTTGAGTCTTTCAAAATTCTTGCCCAATCCATTAGTGCTAAATGAAGCTGTAAAATTTTTCACTAAGCTTGTAGAGTTTGCCAATGGTCCTGACTTTCCCCAACCATTTCTAATGCTTGCTTCAGCTGCTTCCCAACCCGTGTCTTTTTCTGACAAGAAGGCGAGCCCAGCTGCACCCTCCACATCTGAGCCTTCTCCATCTGTCGGTTCCCACATGGTGACACTATGCACTTGTTTTTGCCAACACATTTTTTGAAGTAATTTCTTGAGTAAATTAGAGTAAATAATAGTTGCTTGTTATAGTTATGTCTTCCTGGCACTACCACGTCTCACTTGCCATCCCTCTTCCCAGCAACAGACACTGAGTGGCCCTACAGATTCTCAGTTATCTCTAAAAGAGGGAGCGCACTGAAGCCAGGCTCCCGAAGTCCAAATGCTAGCTCCAACACTCAGGAAGAATTCTTTGACTTGGAACAAGTCATTTTCTCTTTGTGTGTGTTTGTTTCTAATTCTGGAAAGTAAAAATAATGGTACCTTTCTTATCTTCTCTTAGGGGAAAAAAAAATCCAGATGTTTAAAGAAATTGTCCATAGTGAAAATGTTTCTGATAAATCTAAATCTGCTGCCATATGAACTGTTAATTCCTGTAAGGTCCTCATGGATGAAAGAAAGAAAAACAAACTTAATACTCATCCAAATGAGTCTGAGTTTATTAATCCACTGATTCTACTGCAGAAGAAACATTTCTTTGCTGTGTCAAGACCCAAGAAGACTTGATCACTGTAGAGATCAGGTGGTTGCCCATCTCTATACTCACTTTGTTTTAGAAGATTCTTTGTGGGAGGATGAAGATGAAGACGAAGAGGACTGTGGTTTGATTTCCTTCTCCAGTCTGATTTTCTTGTTAGCACAGTCTCTTTCTGCTTCACCCTGTTATTACAGTATAATCAGCAAAGCAAACTGTTACAAACATAATTGTACAGACAAAATAGAAAAGAAAATATAGAAAAAGGAAAGAGGGCAGTCAACCTTTGGAGACATCTCTGTATGCACAGCAACCTTATTAGTACTTACCTATTTGTGTGTGTGTGTGTGTGTGTGTGTGAGAGAGAGAGAGAGAGAGAGAGAGAGATGGGGAGTGGGCAGAGGACAATGTAGATTTGATGTGATTTCTATTGAGACAGATTTTTTTTTTGCATGAAGAAAAACTATTCCTCCCATGCAGGAAAAGGAAGATGTCTAAAGTAACAGACAATCCAAGTAAGTAGGCTTCAATACACCACTGATGTTTTTCTAAATGTAAAAGATCCATGAAACATACATATTTACATCAAGTAATACAGAAAACCATCCAGCCGGGCGCGGTGGCTCACGCTTGTAATCCCAGCACTTTGGGAGGCCGAGGCGGGTGGATCACGAGGTCAAGAGATCGAGACCATCCTGGTCAACATGGTGAAGCCCCATCTCTACTAAAACTACAAAAAATTAGCTGGGCATGGTGGCACGTGCCTGTAGTCCCAGCTACTCAGGAGGCTGAGGCAGGAGAATTGCTTGAACCCAGGAGGCGGAGGTTGCGGTGAGCCGAGATCGCGCCATTGCACTCCAGCCTGGGTGACAAAGTGAGACCCCATCTCAAAAAAAAAAAAAAAAAAGAACCATCCACTTATACCCACCAGTTTATTGTCTGCATAAAATTCAGAATGGACTATTTGAAGCTTACTTTATTTTCTACTGAAAAATAAGAATAACGGTGAAAGGAAACAGTCTACAAAATCCCCTGTATATTTTACAGAAAGGACGACAAAGATATAGAACAACAACAGAAATAGTTGCTTTGGGATTCTGGCTAACATGTCTTTCCCTCCATTGATTTAATTATCTTACTTTTTCATATTGTCTTTATATCTCTCCATATACAGAAACATATTTTTATTTTAAAACACAACTGTGGGAAGACTGTACATATTTTAGTGGAGTAAGGAAAAGGGAATCTGTCACTATTTAAGTACCTCTAACTTGTTAGTTTGAAAGTAGAGTTAAAAAAAAAAAAAGAAAAAAATAATTTAAGCTCCTCTAAAGCATCTATTTATACTAACTAAAGTGGTAAATACATTAAATCATCACGATGAAAGTCTTTCTCGTGTTCTTGTGCCTCACTTGTTAGCACATATACCAGCTTTCTAAGGAGTCTGACATGCAGACTTCTTGGCGGCCTCCTTCCCGTGGCTGTGGGTTCAGGAGGAAGCCCACATACTGTCTAGCAGGTGGCAGGTAAATGATGGGTGGGACCCTTCAATTAATTCTCATGTGCATTTAGAATGAAACTCCCCAAGTGTCAGGTAACCAAGTTAGAAATCTGGGACACCAGTCAATTTAGGCCAATCCCTAACAAACCTGAAATCCTCTCTTAAAAAAAAAAAAAAAAACAAAAAAAAACTTCAAATTAACTGTGGGAGGCTCCAGTTTTCACCACTGTGTCTTCCTTTCCTCCTGAATTTCTTCAAGAAAAATGAATAATTTAAGATGTGTAGGCTCAAGGTCTGCTGTCCAGACACCAATAAGCAGCCTGGCCCCGCACAAAATAACAGAAAATAGAAAAAAAAAATTCCCTCCCTTTTCCTGGCATCCTACAAACCAGTGTGCCTGCATTTGCACACACATCCAGCCCTTCAAGAGATTCCTTTGGAAAAAACACTGTTATTCATTTATGCAGTATTTTGTTTCAAAACGGTTTCCTTCAGAGTGGCTTACACGGATACATGTTTTTGATCTTGCGGTATGTGTGCAAGTGAGAATGTTAAGAAGGGGAAATACGGGATGAAGAAAGAAATTAAGGCCAAGTGAAGGCTCGTACCCTCGGGAGGCTATCAGTTCTCACTGTCAGCCATTGCCACATCGAGGGAGCACCTCAATTTGAACAGGGTTAGTCTGAAATGAAGACAATACAAAATGGGAATGTAGTATTTTTTATATTAAGTGGTTTTTTATTGATATAACCGACAGACATATTTTGGGAGTTGACTAAAGTAGTATTTTAGGTATACTGCATTAAATATAATTATTAAAATGTTAGGCTGGGTGTGGTGGCTCATGATTGTAATCCCAGCACTTTGGGAGGCTGAGGTGGATGGATCACTTGAGGTCGGGAGTTCAAGACCAGTCTGGCCAACATGGTGAACTATGTCTCTACTAAAAATACAAAAACTAGCCAGTGTGGTGGTGTGTGCCTGTAGTCCCAGCTACTCAGGAGACTGAGGAACAAGAATCACTAGAACCCGGGAGGTGGAGGTTGCAATGAGCTGAGACTATGCCATTGCACTCCAGCCTTGGCATCAGAATGAGACTCTGTCTCAAAAAAAAATTCTTTTTTACTAGTTTTCCATTTCCTCCCCTTTTTATAGTTTTTAATGTGGTATTAGAAAAGTTTAAATTACATATGTGGCAAGTATTTCTACTTGACAACACAGTTCTTCACACTTTGTTACAGGTAATCTGCAAATTGGGTTCTGAACTACTAATCAGATTAGTCAATGCAAAGAGGGAATTATAAATATACTGTTTAGATAAGATAAAAACAGATCAGCCACTCAGAAATGTAATCATTCTTTAGAGAAGTTGGAAAAATGTACCTTGAGGGACTGAAAAGGAGATAATGTATGAAATAAGCAACTGAGTTCTAAGTCCACAAATCAAATGCAATAGGAAATTTATGCAGCTGTTCCTCCTGTAAGCATGGACCAATAGCAGATCCTGGAGCACAATTTAGAGGTTAAAGGTGCTGCCACACACCACAAGAAGCTTGCTGGGGCACTGCGACAGGGCTCTGCACAGCATACAAACTGCTGTTCAATAGCTCACGGTGGTTAACACTTGAGAGTGAAGAATGGTGGAGAAAAAAAAGAATCAATTGGAAACAGTTGGGTTAAAACTGAACCTGACTTCTGGTACTGATAACCCCTCTGTCAATCAAGCACCTAATTATGCCCAGGTTATCCTGTTACCAAACAGCCCAGTGAAACATCAGGCTGAGTTCTGCACCGAGTTTTAGATTAAAGGAAGTAAAGCCAGCCCAAGAAACATTACAAGACAGAAAATTTATCTTCGAAATGTCAAACTTTGCTAAAAATATCCAGATGGATACTGACTTAAACATGAAGTAGTAAAATATGTTTTCTTAAATGAAGGGTATTTCCATGCAGTTAATAACACATTAAGGCCCCCAAAGCAAAACTAAGCATTAACAAGGCTACTTCTTAAAGAAAACACCAAAGTCTAGCAGTGGAATGAGAGCTGATTTTTGTTCGTATAGTTTCATTTTACTTAGGACATGCTGGTTGTGACTATTAACCAATCTGGCAGACCTTATAAACCACACATGAAGATACAAGTCACAGCAAATCAATCTTCACAGACTGGTTATAGCTCTGGCTTTGCCCATCGGTGACTCAAGCAGACAGCCAACAAGAGAGAAATCAGTGAGCACTAACTTCAGTGGTAACATCTAACAACTGCATCAGCACTTACTGGAATAATACACTATTTTATACTGATATATAGCAACTTAGAAGCAGATAATATTCTATAAGCTGATAGAAATGAAGCCCTCACACTAAATAAAGCGAAAATCCCCTTCTGTTGATTTTGCTTAACTGTTGAGATCAAGCCAGCGGGCATGAGGTGAGTATTTTTTTGTGCACTGTGCACTTGGAACTTTGTCATCTTCGGTCTGGAACAGTCACAGAGGCTTCCCCAGAGTAGGCACTCAGTGTGTGTTTGTCAGCTGGCACAGAAATTCAGCTTAACAGCTCAGGGACACAGCTGAGGCTACTGGATGCAGGACTGCACTACAACTTTACATGGATGGATGCAGAAAGGTCATTAACATGGGAGGCATGCAGTGCTGCGTGACCGGAAATGCAGACCCAAATTCCAAGAACAAGACCTGCTGAAATAAAGGAGGTCTGGTGTTCTTTAAGAGTTTTCTGGGTCAAGAAGCCATTCAGATGAGAGTGATACTCACTCTTCAGGAGGAAAAAGAAGTCCCTTTGCCCTGTGGTTTAGCCCCAGGTCACCCCCACTTCAGGGAATCTAGCTTACGGTCTAGGTTTCAGAAATTCTTTTTCTACCAGGTTGAGTGTCTCAAGAATGGTGCCTCACCTTCCACAAAGGGAGACTGCTGGCTGACGAACTGGTCCTCACAGACTTGTTTGCTTTTCTTAACCTGTTGGGTCAGGCGGCCCTGATCGTCTGCCAGATGCTGCTCCACCCACAGTGGGGCACAGGGCAAGAGTGAAGGCCATAAAAGGAAGACATGGGCTTGCAAGGGGCCGAGTCCGTTTCCATCAGAGAAAGCCTCTGGGCAGACTGTGCCGCCCTGCAGCTGGCTCACCAAGCAGACACTTGTAGGAAGAGGGGTGGGGGGAAGGTGGCTTTTTCCAGAACTGATTTATTTGGGGCCACAGAGATTCTAACAGATGGAAAGACGTAGTTAACTGGCAGCTTGGCTGTGGAGGAAGATGGGAGCATCTGCAGGAGTAGAGAAAGTGGGGGAGGACTGTGTGTGGGCACTGAGTGGCACTGGTGGGGGCCGTGGAGGAACCAAGGCAGGGATGATGACATAACTGCCTTATTAGCCGGCACTGCCAGAGGCAATACACTGACCTTGTGCACCTCTGGAGAATCCTCCCGACAGACACTTGTATGCAGAAACACGTGTGAAAAGAGGAAAGATCACTGGACTGGGAAGAGGGAGCACCCCTGAGCTGCAGACCTATTTTTACTCAGCAGCCAAGCTATGTTAATGCCTTTTTGGATCTCATCTATAAAAAGGTGGCAGTTGATCAAGGGACCACTGAGGTTCTTTCAGCATCTAAATTCTATTACCTTCTCCCAAAGGGAAGCAAATAAGCTTGGGAGGACATGAACACAGA